CCGCCGCCGGCTGCTCCCGCGTGCCTCCCGGGTGGCACAAAGGGAAGAAGCAGCATGTCCGACCCCAGCTACTGGACGGCGGTGGCAGCTCCCGGCCACCGGAGCCGCCTGGCCAAGGGCGCGCTGCTGCAGCGCTCCAAGAGGTAGGGGGTACGGCGCGGGCAAAGGCGCGGCGGCTGGCCGAGTAGACACGAGTTGCCAGGAGTGTGACCCGGCAGCGTGGCAAGGGCCACTGTGCGCGCGGTAGACGGACAGGGGAGGACGCTTTGCGATCGAGTGATCCGGCAGGGTTCCAGACACCTTCCTTGCTCCCCCTCGTTATCCGCACTGGGATGTCTCTCCGTCTAGATCGCAGCTGGGGTGGTGACGAGGCAGCAAGGAGTTGAGACAAGCGGGATTCGAACCTGGGGCTCTAGGCCTAGGCCGACCTGGGGAGGTGCTTCTCGGAAAACCCGAGGCTGGTCTGTCCCTGGGGCCCACTCAGAAATGTTGGTTCACAAACATATTTGCTGCGCGAGGCTGGCGTGCATGTGGGGTGTCAGAAGCACCAGTTGCTGGATTTAACCAGAGCAAAGCCTGGCCTCTCTTGTAGTCTCAGTTTACCCTTCTGAAAAGCAGAGAGCCTAAATGAGGGCCTTCGCTCTACTAGACCTGGGTTCAAATACCACCTCAGGCACTGCCAGGCCTTGTGACTTGGGACAGTTCCTTCACCTGTCTCTCTGTGCTTGAGTGTCTCATCTGTGCTGGGTTGGGGCATTCCCAGAGGGGAGCACAGGCAGAGGCTGGACAGTGGAACCTCGAATGCCATGTCCAAGGGCTTAGACTCTTCTCTCAGACCATGGGGAGCCATAGAGGGCTTATGGGCACCTCGGGGACTGGGTGCAGGAAACTGGCCTCAGGCCCCTGTGTTCTACCATATTCTCATTCTCTGTTGAACCACATGCGTAGTGATTGAACAGCTAGGCCGCGTCTCAGGGTCCTAGGCCTCCTCCAGGGAGGACTGAGCAAATAGCTGGCACTCGATAGATACTCAGGAAGTGAACAGATGATGCCCACTTTCCCTGTGACACCTCCAATTTGGCTGTTTTCAAAAAGGCTCCACCTGAGAGCAAGAGGGAGGTGGCCAAGTGTTTTTCCCGAATGCTGTTGGAAGTGACAAATGGGGTACGAGGTGGAGGGTGGGTTAAGGAACCAGGTGAGGGCAGAGGAGAGGATGTGGGCCTGGCGAGTGTGTGTAGCGGGGTGGGCAGGAAGTTTTTCAGGAACCTCTGGGTTTCACTTTTGCTTCTGCACCTCAAACTAGAGGACAATCCCTGTGGCTGTCGATATCTTTAGCCTTAGTTTCCCCAGCTGGGAAATGGGTGCATCTGGTCTCTCCCACCTACAGGGTCGTTGGGATTGATAAATAATGACTTAATTCACTGGGGAGACGTGGCCTACACCGACCACACACCAGTCCTCACAAGCGTTGTCAGGAGAAAGATGACAATACATGTAGCCACCACTATTTACCCAGTGCTGGCCCAAAGCTGGGCCCTTGTGTATGAGTTTCACCAGATCTTCCCAGCACCTTGCAAGGTATACAGATGAGGAAACAGGCTCAGAGGGGCAGCCATGGGCAAGCTGGACCACCCCCTCCTTCTCCGTCTTGTCTGAGTCAGTGACTGACTGTGCTCTCTCACACATTGACGGACACTGTGCCTTCTGCTTGGGACACTGTTCCTGCCCTGTGAAGCCTGAGGTTTCATCTCCCTCCCTGCGCAGTATACTGTGGCTGAGCTGCGTTGGCAGCTGGGGTGTGTGGGCTGATGCACTTGCAAGCAAGCAGAGCTGTTGCTGGGTGACTGCTCTGGGGGTGGGGGTGGGGACGATGTGGCTCCCAACTTCCTCCTGCCAGGGTGGAGTGTGGAGCTGGGGCACAGGTGGGTGCAGCCTAGGCAGGAGGCTGGTGGCCAGAAGGATCTGGGATGAAGGCAGGGAAGGAGGGAGGGAAATGTGTGGGCAACACTTTCGCAGAACTGGAGACAGGACCCAACTGTGCAAGATGCTGACTTCAGGGTTTTTAAGGGTCAGACTATCATTCTGAGGGGATCTTGGGGAGCAGCATGGCCGAGAGACTGGGGCAGTGGCCCCGGGAAACGGTGTACAAAATGGGGTGGGGCACTGCCTCAACCCACCTGTAGGCTCCAGGGTCCTCTCCACTCTCTGCCTTATTTGCCAGAGCTCCTGGCATAGGCCACAGCGTCTGCAAAGATGTGGGCATAGGACTGTGAACACTGAAGCCTGAGAAGGTGAGCCAGGGGCTCCTGGCTGTGCACAGTGACCACCAGGAGGCCACAAGCACTTCGTGTTGCCACTGATGATAACAACAACAGCAGTAGATTTAATAATAGTAATGTCTGTCAAATATGACTCCCACTGGGCCTCAGAGGCTGGACTACATAAAGGCCATGGGAGAATCCAGCTGGGGACAGAGTGGGAGCGGTCATGCCCAGCTTCCTATCCGGCCACAAAGCCGCTGCACATGGGCCAGCACCTGACCTTGTCCCCATCTCCCCCCAACAGCTGCCGCAGCGGGAACCGCAAGAGCCTCGTGGTAGGAACACCCTCACCGACCCTTTCCCGGCCCCTGTCACCACTGTCAGTCCCAACCGGTGAGCATGGGGAGCAGGCGGGTAGGCGCTGTGTCCTGTCTCCACCCCCGATGACTCAGTTTCCCCCCGGCTTTCTCAGCAGGCAACAGCCCTTTAGATAGTCCCCGGAACTTCTCAGCTGCGTCAGTTGTCAACTTCCCCTTTGCCCGGAGGTGAGTGGTCCCTGGCTTTGGGGGATGGTATCCTCATGACTGGTGAGGGGACAGGCAGGAGGCATGCACTTAGTGGACTTGTCTCCTCATTGGCCTTTTCCCCTCCCCCGGCCCCTGCCCTGTGGTGGTCCCTCCTGGCTTCTGCCCCTGGCTTGGCCTTCTGTAGCCACATTCCTCGCATGGACAAGTAATTTCAATGAGCCCTATGGCAGGGAGAGGGGACACACGGGGTCTAAAAATCATTAATTCACTGAGAGTCATTTATTCACTTAATAAGAGTTGATGTAGGACCTGTTTTGTGCCAGGCATTTAAATGCTCCTTACTCATTTGACATTTATTGAGTGCCTGCTGTGTGCCATGCCCTGTGCTGGAGGTCTGAGGAAGGAGGTGCTGGACTTTGGCCCTTGGGGAGTTCTCAGTCTGATGGAGGCAGCCAGCATATACCCCAGCAGCTGTAACTCAGAGAGGTGGCAGCTTTGATGGGGGCCAGAGTCACAGAGGACTTCCCAGAAGAGGTATCTGAAGGATGAGAAGGAAACACACAGTGGACTTGCTTACGTTGAATTGCTGTTCTCAGCCTTATAGAGGGTCCTTCCTCCAGTGGAGCCAGAATCTGACAGCCATGGTGTCTGCCCTTGGTCCCCACAAACCACAGGGGCCATGCCTTCCTTCCAACTCTTTTGGTTCTCCTCTCCAGGGCTGACGGCAGAAGATGGTCCCTCGCATCCCTCCCATCTTCTGGCTATGGAACCAACACACCCAGCTCCACCGTCTCGGTACCCACAGTCCCACCTTGGCAGGCAGACAGGCGGGTGCGAGGTTGGAGGGAACGAGCATGTCTTTGGTTTTTTTAAGGGGTCAGATAGTTGCATAGTCAGCAAACATCCTCACTGCTCCCCCCGAGCCCCATTCTGGGCAATGTAGGGGTCCCTGGGAGAATATAGCCTCAGCCCCAGGAACCCCCAGTCTGAGGCACACAGATATTCCTAGACTATGGGGTCAGGGCCTGGCCAGAGAGGGTCTCAGTGCTGCCCAGGGAAAAAGCAGGGAAGGCTTCCTGGAGGAGGGAGCATTGGAGCTGGGGTTCTGAGGAATGCATAGGAGCCAGGCAGGAGAGTTACCATCTGATGACCAGCCAGCCACCAGGGCTTTAAGGGGTAGTGCTGGGGTCCTGGGTATGGCACTGATCATGAACCCATTGCTTTCATACCCCCTCCTGCCAGTCAAGCTCATCTTCCCGGGAGCGTCTCCACCAGCTTCCTTTCCAACCAACACCAGACGAACTGTGTTTCCTGTCCAAGCATTTCCGCAGCTCAGAGAGCGTGGCTGATGAGGATGGCAGCCACCGCTCACCCCACCTTCGCCCCCGCTCCCGAAGCCTCAGGTGGACCATGACCTCTGACCCCCTGCCCCAGCCCCTCCCTAGACTGGCTTTGGGACCCACACCATGGCTTCTCCTCCCCGTCTGGTCCTGATCCTACCCGAGCCTGGCTCAACCCCTTCCCTTGGGCTGGGTCTCAGGTCCCATGTCACAAGCTGACCATTTCTACCCTCTCCTTCAGCCCAGGACGTACAACAGGGACCTTCGACAATGAGATCGTCATGATGAATCACGTGTACCGGGAGAGGTTCCCTAAGGTAGGATGGACTGGCCCCAGTGCCCTTCCACATTGCTGTCCCTCTCTGTGTGACAGACGGGCACTCTCTGTCTTCTTGGCTGTGACCCTATATTAGTCCATTTCCCTCTCAGTCTCAAATCCTCCCCTTCCCAGCCCTCAACTCCATCATCACATCTCTCTCCTCAACTGTCTCTCCTGCCCCAATCTGTGTGTGTTGCTCCTTAGCCCCATCCATCTCCTCTGCCCAGGCCACAGCCCAGATGGAGGGCCGTCTACAAGAGTTCCTTGCTGCCTTTGCACCTGGTGCCCGGCTGGCGCTGGCTGACGGCGTCCTGGGCTTCATCCACCACCAGATCATCGAGCTGGCCCGCGACTGCCTGGCCAAGTCTGGAGAGGCACTTGTCACCTCCCGCTACTTTCTGGAGATGCAGGAGAAGCTGGAGAGGCTGCTGCAGGATGTGGGTGTCAGGGCATGGAGCTGAGGGTCCCCAGGTGGTACACGGCAGGGCTAAGGGCCTACAGGTGACATCCTGCCCACCTCTCGCCAGGCCCATGAGCGCTCGGACAGTGAGGAGGTCAGCTTCATCGTCCAGCTGGTCCGGAAGCTGCTGATCATCATCTCGCGGCCAGCAAGGCTCCTTGAGTGTCTGGTGAGTCTGCACAACTGGATATAGGGGCCCGGCAGAGCTGAGACCAGGCCCTTGAGATATAAGACACAGTTCCATCGTACAAGGCTTGGAGAGCAACACAGGGTACTGCCAGGCTGGGGTGGGCTTTCTGGAGGAGGGGCCAGAAGCTGAGACTCCAGGGACAAATTGGAGCCACTGTTGAATGCTCCAGACAGAGGGCACAGCATGTGCAAAGGCTCGGAGGTGGGACCAAGCCTTGCTGACCAGCTCTCTGCACCCCCAGGAGTTTGACCCTGAGGAGTTTTACCACCTGTTGGAGGCTGCTGAGGGCCAGGCCCGTGAGGGCCAGGGCATCAAGACGGACCTGCCGCAGTACATCATTGGGCAGCTGGGCCTGGCTAAGGACCCCCTTGAGGGTGAGCTGAGGTGGGGCAGGGTGGATAGAAGAGACTAAGGAGAGGCGGGGGAGAGTCATACTATATTTGTCTCTTTGTGTTCTGCCCTCGGCCACCTGCAGGGCCCACTATGGGGAAAGCGCCTGGGATTCTAGAGTCAGGCAGCTGCTTATTGGATCCTCTGACCTGCCAGGGCCTTCAGCCTCTGTCTTTAATGCCAAGTTGATATGGGCCAAGGTACCAGGGACCACCACTGGCAATGGCATTCACATCGTCCTGCAAATTCACAAAGCCTTTTCCCAGTTTCATCTTCCTGTGGCCCTGGAGGTAGACTCGCAGTCAGACAGGGCCACCCACAGGCAAGAACTTTCCCAAACAACCAGGACAGAGGAATCAAGACATGGCATGAGGGGAGCATGGAACATGGACTGGCCTTGTCCAGAGGCAGTCAGGGGAGGCTCTGGGAACAGATGATGTTCAAGCTGAGGATAGAGAGGTGACCAGGTATCGATCTAGGGGAGAGAAAGGGGAACCAGGTGGGGGAACAACAAAGGCCCTGAAGTGGGACCATGCTTGGCATTTCGGAGGAGCAGCAAGAAGGGGGTGCAGCTAAGGAATGGAGAAAAGAGAGGAGCTTACGGGAGGCAAGGAGGTTGGCAAGGCCTTGCCACAGTGGCCAGTGTCCACTGAGCATCATTGCTGTGTTAACCTTGGGACCAGGCTGCCCTATCATCTTTATTTAAAGCTGGAGAGACTAGAGTGAGGCTTTGCACAGATGAGGTTGAACAGGGGATCAGACACAGGTGTGTCTGAGGCCATACCACTCTTAGATTGACTCTGTGGCCGTGGCCATCTTCCTGTCTGTCTGGTGAAGATAACAGGTTGCTCTGGGGGTGGGTCTGGTGTCAGAGGGTGTGGGAAGTGGCCGGGAAAGTGTTGGCTGGGGCTATGGGGGAAATCACCTACCCAGCTCCCTGGAGGGCCTACTGAGAGTGGGAGGGACTGCATTCAAACCCAGGCCTCTCTCAGCCCTGAGGCTCTACCGCCACATCCCAGCCTAGCTCTGGGACCAGGAGACATGCTTCAATGCCATCATCATAGCTCATGTTCAGGGACCACTTACTCAGGCCACCCCTCTGCTGAGCCATGGGGCTGGACTGTAAGGGGAACCTCCCTGGGCCGTGCCCTGAGATACGAAGTTGTCAGGAGCCCCTGTCATGGCTCATGTTCATAGGCCCAAGATTTGGAGCCAGAGTTTGATGAAGACTGAGCAGGTGGAGCCTGGGCTGCCCACTGGTCCTAGATGGTTCCTCATTGTTCAGTCTAGCCTCCTGGGTTTGGCTGAGACCTAGACATAGTAGGGGCTCACTGGCAGTATCATGGGAGCTGGTCAGGGGAGGCGCCATGTCCCCAGCCCCCAGATGGGTCCTGGAGGCCTTAGGAAATCTTTGGGTGATGCAGGGGCAGGGCGTGGAGGCCTCATTCAAGGCTCCTCCCCCGTCTTACAGAGATGGTGCCTCTGAGTCACCTGGATGACAGCGAACAGCCCCCAGCACCCGAGTCCCTGGAGGTGAGGCACAGAGCTTTGGGGCCCCCCACCTGTCTTGTTCTTTTCAGGGCAAACCAGGCAGACATGGGAGGGGCTGTGTTTGCAGAAGTTTTACATGTAGTTGGTGCTTAATAAATTCCTGTGACTGCGGGGAAGGTGGGGGAAGCGAGACCGCTGCGCTGTGGAGGTTGGGCAGGGCAGGGCTGCAGGGGGCACTGGAAAGGTGTTTGGAGGATGTGTAGAAGTTTTCTGGGAGGAGGGCACGGCTTGAGCAAAAGCTCAGTCAGAAACTCAGACTCTGAGCTGGAGAAGTTTGGATGAGGGGGAAAGTAGCATCAGGCACCAGGACTTGGGAGCCAGAAAAGCCCAGCCCGCTCCTCAGGGGGTCAGGGCCGTGAATCCTTCTTGTCCCCAGAGCCGTGCTCTAGTTGGCCCATCACGGAGGAAGCCGTGTGAGAGTGACTTCGAGACCATTAAGCTCATTAGCAATGGAGCCTATGGGTGAGTCCTCAGGTCCCACATAGACCCATTTCTCAGATGTCCATGGGGGAGGCTGAAGTTCAGGTAGCCCCTCAGTGTGCATACGGGGAAACTGAGGCCTGCAGAGGGACGTGGTGACGCAACACCACTGGGCATGGCTTGGTATGGGCTTGTCCATGATCCAGGCCCTTACCTGCCCCAGGTGTAGGGGGTTTCTGATCAGAGAAAAAGATGACCACACGGTGGCAGTAGCGTGCAGTGAGCATTATTTGTCACTGCAAAATTTGTCACAGGGGTACAAGGCGGGAGTCTCTGACAGCATGAGACCATCAGAGGGGGATGGAAGAAGGGATCAGCAGCATGGGGGAGTCAGAGAGCCCCAAAGAGTAGCAGCAGCGTGTATAGATTCCTTATAGCCCCAGGGTTTATCTGTGGCTAGGAACGGTGGTATAGTCTCACCAGGTATACAAAACCAGCAGGCTCTAAATGGCTAAAAAGTCTGCTTATTTGGACTATATTTAAATCAGTTTGAGTTCGGTGCAGGCTTTTGAGTTAATGGGTCTCAGCCTGCTGTGAATAAATAAACAATCTGAGGTCCAATTTTCCAGGCTGTGTTCGGTTCATTTATAAGATACCAAGGCGGGTGGTTTAAACTCACAGTGGCTGCTTTGAGAGAGGGGCCAGGTGTGGATAAAGGTGTCCCAGGTGGAGGGCACAACACAGGCCAAGGCCCAGCAGGTTGGGTCCTGGGCCCAGGTCTGTTCCTGGTGCCTGCCAGGGCCTCAAGCTCAGGCGTCAGGGAGCCCTCCTCCTCCCCCAGGGCTGTCTACTTGGTGCGGCACCGGGACACACGGCAGCGCTTCGCCATCAAGAAGATCAACAAGCAGAACCTGATGCTCCGTAACCAGATCCAGCAGGTCTTCGTGGAGCGCGACATCCTCACCTTCGCTGAGAACCCCTTCGTGGTCAGCATGTTCTGCTCCTTCGAGACCCGGCGCCACCTCTGCATGGTCATGGAGTATGTGGAAGGTACGGTCCCCGGGGCTCGCATGCCTCCAGTGCTGGGGGACTCCCCCTCTACTTGGGCCAGGCTGGAGTCTGCTCTGTCCTCCGTGGGGTCCCAGCCTGCCTTCCAGACCCTCAGTCTGGGATGCAAATGGTGGTGGGGCTGGGGGAGCCCAAGGAAGAGTGTGAGGGCGGGACCTTGGAAGATGGGGGAAGGGTAGATGGGTGGACATCCTAGGTAGGTGACTGGTGGGCAGGGCCTGGGGGCTGGAAGTAAGAGCAGGGGATGGAGAGGTGGGTTGGAGGGGCCCAGGGGGAGATAGTTGTAGGTTCAGGTTTGCAGGGCTTTCAGGTAAGTGAGGGACTGGCATTTACCAAGGTGCTGCCAAGCAAGAAGGAGCGTGCACTTTGGAGGCACCAGCTGTGTACAGAGAGGGAACTATTCACTTACAGAGCTGCTGCCCTACAGGGGAGAATGTCGGGGGCAGGGTCTACCTTCCCCTGCCCCTGCTCAGTTCCCCACCCTGATTCAGGACCCACTGGGGACCATCTGCAGCAAGCAGGGAGAATGTGGAGGCATTGGGCGTGGCTATAAAGCCCATGGCCTCCGAGCATGTCTGTCCCTCGCAGGCGGTGACTGTGCCACGCTTCTAAAGAACATGGGCCCGTTGCCCGTGGACATGGCCCGCATGTACTTCGCGGAAACGGTGCTGGCACTCGAATACCTGCACAACTACGGCATTGTACACAGGGACCTCAAACCTGACAAGTGAGCTGCCAGGGCCTCAGGGGACTGACCAGAGAGGCTTGAGGGTGGGGATTGGGCTTGTGCGGGGGCGGGGCCTCTCAGCGAGGTCTGGGGCTGCTCAAGACTCCTGGGTATCTGGATTTCGTTGGCATCGTGGGGTCCCTCCTGGCAGGAAGGCAGAGAACTTGCACATGTTGAGCACCTGGTATGTACAGAGGAGAGTGATTTCTTAGTAGGTACCTGCTGTACGCAGGGAAAGGACTGTGCAATTATGGAGGTGCTGCCAGGCAAGGAGAGGGAATGTGCACTTAGGATGCACAAACTGCATTGGAATGGATCATGCCCTCTCAGAGTTGCTACCTCACAAGGAGAAAAAACATGCTCTCTGAGGCACAGGCTGTATACAGGGAACAGGAGCATGCATATTGCAAGACCTTATATGTGAAGAAAAAGACTGAGCTCGTGTTGTGTATTATTAGTGCAGGAAAGAAAGGAAGAGTACATGTTTACTGAGAGCCTCGGGATGTTTTTATTCTAGCATTTAGTAAGCACCTACTATATGCCAGGTCCTCTATGGGTGAGTGGGAAACAGCATGAGTGAATAATCCTTCATGCTTTGTAACCCCTACCTAATTTTCAAAGCACTCTCCTCCTGCATTAATTGAGCGCCTGCTATGTACAGAAGAATGGGCCATCCATATATTGAGTACTCTCTGGATATGAGGCAAGAATGACACATTTCTCAGGTATTTGCTACGTGGAGGTGTGAACATAAGTGTTAAGAGCCCTGGGTGTTTTCAGGGCATCTTGTAGTTTGCAGGTGGCTTAGAAAACAAAGCAAATGTGTGTTTGGCACCTGCTATATGCTTGGACCTGTGCTGAGGGAACTCTGTGCCCAGCAGGTCTCTCTGAGATCATCCCAGGTTGTGGTGGGGTCTTCCAGGTATCTCAGGTCAGATCCCAAGGCAGGACCTGTCCCTCTCAGGACCCTCATCTGCAAGACACGGTGGAAGGTACCCAGCCTTGAAAGGTTGAAGGAAGGATAAGTGTACACAGTAGGTGCTCAACAAAAATATTTTTTCATTTTCACTTTGGAAAATTTTAAAAACAACCAAAAGTCAACAGAAGGTACATTAGTTCCCTAGGGCTGCCATAGCAAAGTACCACAGACTGAGCGGCTTAAACAAAAGAAATCCATTCTCAGTCTGGAGGCTGGAAGTCCAAGATCAAGGTGTCATCAGGGCCCTGCTCTCTGAACACACCTGGGAAGGATCTGTTCTAGGCCTCTCTCCCGGCTTCTGGTATTTCCTTGGGCTGTGGCAGCATCACTCCAACATCACACGTGGCGTCCTCCCTCTGTGCATGTCTGTGTCCAAATTGCCCCTTTTTATAAAGATACCAGTCATATTGGATTAGGGGCCACCCTGCTCCAGTATGACCTATGTTACGTAATCACATGTTCAGCAGCTCTATCTCCAAATAAGGTCACATTGGTAGTAACCGGGGGTTAGGACTCCAACACGTGAATTTCGAGGAGACACGATTCAGCCCATAACAGAAAGCTACAGTGCCCTATGCCCATATTCAGATTCCACAGCTACCAGCACTCAGCCGACCCTGTTTCCTCCCCATCCCCTCAGTCTCCTCCCCCTGCCCCACTGGATGATTTGAAGGGAATCCCAGGCAATGCATTTATAAGAAGGAAAAAAAATTTAAATAGCAGATATAGTCAGTGTTCAAGAAATGAACTTTTTTTTAGATGGGTATGCCCACAGGCGCTCAGGAAATGTCGACTGTCTTTAACAGCAGTAGCCCCAGGCCTGGTACACAGCCTTGGTGTTGGAAGGTGTGGCTGCACCTGGTAGATATGCCAAAGTGTGTTTTCCACAGCTGGTGTACACAGTAGTTACTCAAGAAATACCCCTTATTTTTAAAAAACAGTGGTTGCACATAAAAGGAACACAGAATTGTTTCTTTATAGAGACAAAGTACACAGTAGGTGCTAAATAGATAAGTTATTCAACAACTTAAATATACACCATACATTCTTTAGAAACTTATTTTTAAGTGGCACAGGTACCCAGGAGGTGTGTGAAAATGTGACTTTACTAAGAAAGAGCATGGAACTCTATCACTTAGCAAACCATTTATATATTTGAGCAAGAAAACTTAAACAGCACCATACGTGGTAGGTGTGCAAGTTTTTAAAAATTGGGTGCACGCATGAAGTACGTGGAAATATTTTTATATACAGCAGGTGCTCAAGATACGTTTATTTTTCAACATGGGTTGTAAACAATAGGTATTTACAAAGCAGTTAGTTTGTTACAATAATGGACACATGTATAGAAATACACTGTAGATCCCCCAGAAGGTGTTCAGAAGATGTTTTAACACACAATTGGGGAGAAGCTGTGATTCTCAGAAAATTTATTTTTGCATAGCCGAGTATACAGTAGGTGCTCAATAACAACACCAGATGCACCCAGTAGGTGCACAGAAATGTTTGCCAGATTTTTAATATTGCCTGAGACCTGTTGGTTCTTGCAATGATATGGCTGTACACCAAAAGTGCTTTCCAGTCCCGTGGAGGAGTCCAGCGGTCCCAGGTAGACCCAAGTTTGAGGCAGCAGGAGGAGCCACTTTCTGGGTCCCCAGTCATGAGCGTGTCACCTGCTTGCCTGCAGCCTGCTCATCACCTCACTTGGCCACATCAAGCTGACTGACTTCGGCCTGTCCAAGATCGGGCTCATGAGCATGGCCACCAACCTCTATGAGGGCCACATTGAAAAGGACACCAGAGAGTTCGTGGACAAACAGGTGAGCGGGTGGGCGGGCGCCCTGGGTGCTGGGCCCCCTCTGTCTGGAGCCTGACCCCAGGACATGGCAAGACTTGGCAGCAAAGAAAAGAAAGTAAAATGCCCCCTGTAATTCCACTCACTCCTTATTCCCTGCCTGGCCCCGGCCTACCGGTCTCTCCCATGCTGGGGGCCATCTTCAGTTTGCCCATTTCCCCTGGCCCAGGTATGCGGGACGCCCGAGTACATCGCACCCGAGGTGATCTTCCGTCAGGGCTATGGCAAGCCAGTGGACTGGTGGGCCATGGGCATCGTCCTCTATGAGTTCCTGGTGGGCTGTGTGCCTTTCTTCGGAGACACCCCTGAGGAACTCTTCGGCCAGGTTGTCAGTGGTGCGTTCTCCACCCTCTGTGGCCCCAGGTTTGAGTGTCGATCACCCTGGGGCTTTTCTCCACCTGTGCTAGAGAGGGGAGCAGCCCCATGTGTGGGTTAGCACCTATGATGTGCCTGGCCCCAGCTGCACTGGGGACATGACCGAGGGACAAAATGGACAGCCCTTGTGGTGCTTGTTGCCCAAAACGGACAGTAGCCAAGATAAATAAGCCAATTATGAAGCAATTAGAGGCCAAAAATGCCAAGGAGAAGCAGCAGAAAGGGGAGGGGCGGGGTGCTGGGGGTGCTGCGTTAAATAGAGAGTCATAGAGGCTTCAGAGATGACCTGTGAGCAAAAACCTGGAGGAGCAAGAGGCAGCCACAGACATAGGGGAGGGGAAGGTGCTCTGGGAAGAGGGCACAGCCAGAGCTAAGGCTGCGAGGTAGAACCAAGCCTGGGGTGTTGGAAGGAGCAGAGGAAGCTGATGGCTTGGAGCTCAGTGAGTGAGGGTGGTGGTGGGAGGTGCTAGGAAGGACTGTCTCTGCCCTCACTCCCGCCCCCCCTCATTTTAGATGAGATCATGTGGCCAGATGGGGAGGAGGCCCTTCCACCTGATGCCCAGGACCTCATCACCAGGCTGCTCCGGCAGAGCCCACTGGACCGTCTGGGCACTGGTATTTTGAGGGGCTAGGGTAAACAAAAGCTCTACTTGAAGAGCTGTATGGAGGAGGGGTACTTGGAGCTCGGGTTTTGAAGGTTACATAGGAATTTGCCAGGAGTTAGCATAAGATCTTGAAGGAATAGCAGGTAGCTGGGTCTGATGTAGACAGGGGGCACCGAGGCTGAGTGAGTATGTGAGCCTGCAAGATCAGGGGCTGTGTCCTAAGGTCCTCAAAGGCCCAGCCCAGTGGATCCCACTGTTCCGGTTTTCCCAGCCACCTAGTGAATGGTTAACGAACTAATTGAGTGTAGCCATGCATTAACACGGCCATTGCTGGTCATGTTCATGATGAAACTTGGCCATGGGAGAGAATGGTAGGGGCCAGAATTGGGGGACAGGGAGCCTTCACGCAGTCAGCTCTTCTCCATGGAGTAGAAACATGTGGAAAAGCCAGGAAGGAAGCCCTTCTAAGGCATTGGGGTTTCTGTGGGTGGTGGGATCTCAGAATCCAGCAGAGGAAGGAGTAGAGCCTGGGTTCAAGCCCTAAGCTCAATTCCTCTCTGGCCTCTTAATCAGCAGCTGGCTTCCCCTCCCATTTTTCTGGTTCTGTGTTGGCCCGGGGGCCATGGGAGTGGGGCCCCACAGAGCTCAGCTGGGCATGTCTGCAGGTGGCACCCATGAGGTGAAGCAGCACCCCTTCTTTTGGACGCTGGACTGGGCAGGGCTCCTACGACACAAGGCTGAGTTTGTGCCACAGCTCGAAGCCGAGGATGACACCAGCTACTTCGATAGTGAGTCGGGGTCCTGAGGGTGGGGAGGGTTATCTGCCAGGGTCTCTGCCCAGGCTTGGCACCTCACCGTGGGCCTAGAACTCCTGACTTTCTGAGCTTTGTGAGAAGCTGGAGCAGGTCTGTGCATCCCCTGCCACTGGAATTTCCTGTGCTTCTGGGTTCAGGAGGAGCAGCACCCCCTCAGATTGCAGGAGGGGAAACCAAGGCCCTGAGTGTGGCAGACCTTTGCCTGGGTTCTTCCAACAGGTTCAGCCTCCTGGCATGGAACCCTGTATCACACAGGAAGGTGGGGCACCTTGCCGACCTTCTGTGAAGGGGTTCCCCGCTGGTACTTCAGTGGGTTCTCCTCACTCAGGGGTCCAGCCAAACACTAAATCCCCTCAGTTTTCAGCGCCTCCTCCAGAACTTACCGTGTGATCTTGGGCATGTCAGAGGTCCTCTCTAAGTGTCTATTTCCTCTTCTGTAAAGCGAGGAACATACTTTACTTTGGAGGTACACAGTTTTCCTAATTCTGGGTGACCTGTTTCAAGGTTGAGAGCACTAAGGCTCAGACACAAGAATTCCCACCAACAGTCCCAGAGCTTTTAGGGACACAGCTGGGATGGATTTCCAGATATTTACTCTGCTGCCCAAGCCTCTTGTGGTCCCTAAATGCACCGGGCATGGTCCCACCTCAAGGCCATTGCCCTGGTAGTTCCCCTGCCCCACCCCGCCGGGGACACCCTCCCCACATCATTCCACCACCCTCACAGCCACTGCACCTGCACGTGCCTCTCCCTCCCACAGCACGCTCGGAACGGTACCGGCACCTGGGCTCTGAGGATGACGAGACCAATGACGAGGAGTCGTCCACAGAGATCCCCCAGTTCTCATCCTGCTCCCACCGGTTCA